TGTAAACAGTCCGACATTTGAGGCAACCTCTATATGCCTATAGCTGTTAAAAAATTAATTAATGATAATGGATTTTGACATTACCTTCGACTCAGATTGTTCTCGAGTCCCGTTTTCATTCGCAAATCCTAAATTCCACAAAACGCCTACTCAATTCCGATTCATAACCAGCTCAGTCCATACCTGTATCCAGAATTTGTCGCTCGTCATCGACAGATTCTTGGACGCTCTCTTAAAAGAAGTCCATCGTGGTTGTAAATTCTCCCATGAGTCTTGGATGATTGAAAAAAAAAAAAGCTGTGCTTAACGCCTTAAGCAAAATCAATACGGCTGAAGAAGCGCAGTTCTTGGGGCTTCACCGCCCTTTACACGAAAATCCCCTTGGTCCTTCCGCATGAAAAACTGGTATATCTGTTTCGACAATTTTTGTCTAAGGGCTGTAGTTACAAAGATTGCTACATTGGTGTGGAATTCTTTTGAAATATCCTCGAAACGAGCCTACTGAGCAAATTTATCCTCACGGGTTGTGTTTCGGCAGTTCACTGGAATCCCCATGGGGAGTAGTTATTCAACTGATATGGCCAGTCTTTTTCTTCTATGAGCGAAACTTCCTAAAAACACACATTTTCTCCTCAGACATATACCTTTCCCTTTATATTAATGATATTCAGCAAAGGAGAAGGAAATTTTTCTACGCTCTCACTAAATAGCGGGCCAACTGCCTGGTAATTTTGATGTTCCATGAATATTCCATTAGCACTTGCATGCTGAACGATTTTGATGGACTTATTTCCTCCTTTTAAACTGAAAGCGAAAATGATGAAGAAACCAAACACGAAGAAAGGGAAAGAAACGGGCGGAGTCATTCTGGAAGGATTTGTGAAATTGGAGATATCCACGAAATGGTTGAAGATTCAGATGATGAATGCATTAATAATGATATAATATATATCATTATTAATAATAATGGTTTCATTATTTGGTGAATGGAATATGTCCTGATTATTCACATTTTCATTGCTATTTTTCAAGGGTTTATTTGAAATCTGTAGATGCAATTATCGATTAATTATGAGATAAAGAAATTCGTTCAAACCTCAAGTTCAATTGGAAAAAGGTCTGACATACCATTTTATCGATAATTAAGTTTTGACCAGCTTCAGATTACCTATGGGAAGATTTCATCGTTCATCTCGAATTGCATCTTTTGCACATACTTTTCCTAGAGGACTCCTCGATGACGTCTATGCATCGAGATTGCATTGCGGGAAACTGCCTCGTCCCCATTCGATTCAATAATATCAACACTCAATAATATCATCAAATCACAATTAAATACTTAATTAAATAGATACTTGCAGATCTGCAGTCCCGAAGAGGACTTCATATTTTACTGCGGTCTTTCACATGAGAAACTGATAATAATGGATATGCAGATCGGTTTTTGAAAAAACAATTCGGCCTCTTCAAGATAACTCACTTTCTCATTATTTTGCAGAAGTTCGGCGTTTCTTTCGCACATGAACCTTTCGTTTTCCGCTAGTCGGTCTGCTGGATGGCTGGCCTGAGGACTCATTTCGGGGGGGGGGGTCGTTCGGCTGCTATGGTCGACTGTGCGTCTTCGCTTCCAAGGACTTCGCCTTCGCTTTTTTTTTCTGTCGATCAGGGGACAGTTAAGACAGGTGGTTTTGGTTTGCGTCCACAGGCTCGGATTGCAACTCATGATCCAATTTACCTAGTGAATCCTCCCTGTTTTTGAGGAATTTTCTCTTTCTCCACTCTTTCCTTATCGAGCCATGGATTGTGGATAAATCTTTCGGGCACGGATCCAACTTTGGCCTAATTTCTTCATAGCAGTCGGTTTGAGGTTGTCTGCTCTCTTGAGCATCGTTATTTCCACTTTCACAGGGCACTTTGCGCTGGTTGCCTTCTTGTAGCATGAGGGTAAGCTTTCTCCTGCATTTGTGGTGATTTTGAGAATGACTTAAGCTGTGGTTTCTTTCAATTAAAAACCTTTCAGCTATACTCTTTCACTTTCTTCTAGCTTATTTTGGCTCTAGTGGGATTTCTGAAAAAGATCTTTCTACACTGAAGGCTTGAGCGGGACAGTGCCCCTGATGAGGATCCTGCCATTCTTTAAAGACGGCTCTTAGGGCCTCTGAACTAAAGGAGGAATTTCCTTTTCAATTGACATACCCCTCCATTTCTATAAATAAATAAATAAAAACTCTTTCAACCATTGAAAGTAATTAGTTTGCAACTATAGGAAATTTGTTGAAACTTTAGACTTGACAGAATTGAAGAGCTTCCCTGTCGTTGTGAACTTCCTGAGTTCAAATCCTGTTTAAGTGAACACCATCAGCATATTATAATGGGGAATCTTCATATTCTTCAGAATAAAAGGCTTTTCCACATCTTCAAAATGGGGGAGAAATATCATTTTAACCACAAAATGAATAAAGAGAAGTTTCTAGATGATGTCACACATCAGCAGTTCAGAGATCTGGAATTTCCCTCAGAACATTGAACTCCCTTCTGTCAAGTTGCTCGAATCATCAAGCAACATGAGCATAAGCTTCCTTTAGTTAATAGTGTTTCTCAGTGGTTACTATGAGAATGACTTAAGCTGGGGTTTCATACAATCAACAACCTTACAAAACTTTCAAATTGAGTATGTTTCAGACTGATATCTCAAATTTCACCCAAATTATTTGTACCAAAGCAATTCTAGCAGTAATTATTGAAAAGAAGTAACACATTGCAAATGGATAAGAGCTCCTGCTGGTAGTGGAGCACTCTCGAGCACCGACCCTCCTGCTTTGCTGCCTCCTGGTTATAGAGATGTTTGGGTTGAAAGTCGTTGGGTCTTATTTTTTTGGGCCATACCCTGTATACGTGCATGAATGCACTTGGGCCACAGCCTGTCAAGTCCCTTAACTGTGTATGATCTTACAAATATGCGAAGTGCCTGGGTTTGAGAGAAAAAATTAAATTTATGAAAAATCTTTATCTGTCTGAGGCTAGGGAGAGCATATTCCTGGGGTGTAAGCCTTAACCTCAACAGTGATGGGTAACTAAATTCCCCTTTAACTGTAGAACTGTAAATAAGAATACTTCTCCATGGAGCTTCTCTTGACATTCAGTAATGCTTTCCAATCATCACTTGTATGCTGAAACTTCTCTGGTGCTTCATTCATGTAAGCACAGCCACCCTAAGTTGCATTATATCATAGTAACTTAATAACAGCATATTTAAAAAAAAGTGTCTCAGGATACTCAATGAGCTCAACAAAGGTTACTACCACAACATACTGCTTCTGCAGCATTTTTAGAGTGTGCTACATAAAATATCAACATTTTGTGATATTAGACATGAACTCAACTGTCTTTTCATCATTATCCAAAAATTTATGGCATTATCAGATCAGAGCTTATGCAAACTCAAAAGGTAGGAAGAGTATTACAAAAGACACCAAATGATAGATTATCCACCTCAAATACTTAAACATGTTCAACATGTAAATTACCAGTACATCATCATTGGAAGAGCAAGGCCATGCCAATTGTCTCTCATTCTTGAATTACATTCCTTAGCATGGGTATGTAGTGGATTTAGCTCAAAGTGAAAGGTAAACATCTACTCTGTCTTTCATCGACAGGTTTCTTAAAATTGCAAACTACAATAAGACTTGGAAAGGCAAGCAAAATTGTCAATTCCTTGTATGCCCAAGTTCAAGTAAAGCTTCCTCCCTAGGTTGGTGATGGCAGCTCCTTTGAAAAACGTCCTATTCCAGACGTTCAACACCTTTCTCACAGCCTGCTATAACTATTGCTATTTTTGTATGCATTCATTTTTCAGATATGTCTTCCAGAACTTAGAATGATTAGATGCAATTAAAGAAAGGCCTAACTCTCCCTCTTGGGGCAAGGATTGACTTATGATATGGAAATAACTAATATTATCCTTGAACTTAATCACATATGCCCACCGAGTACGAGACTACTATTAGGCCTCTCTTAGTTGGTACCAAGCCATTCTGCTCAAAAACCTGAAACCGATCCACTTTGAGCCACCATCCCACGTGCCCTGCAGAATCGATTCTCATAATCCTCCCCTTGCCATTGGCCATGTGTCCGAACGACTGCGCGCGCGCGCGCGCGACCCTCTCTTTTCTTCGATAGTGCTCAGAGCTCCAACAAAAAACATTTGCAACCTCCTTGGTTGCGGGATACGGAATAAGAGCCCTTCTGGGCGATTGATTCACCAACGCCGATTCACTTCATCCGTCGATGATGGATCCTCAGGGCTCACTCGGACCAATTGACACCACTGCTGAAACGCGTCTGCTTGATCTACATCTGAGCCTGGATAGCGGCAAACGGGTTTTTAGTTTCGTCGATTTCTTTTGCATCTCAAAATTCCTCTGTGAAATGCATGATCCTTTTCAACATGAAGTACTCCCGATCGATTTGCAACCTGTGCCGGCCCGGACTTCGGAAATTTGCGAAATTCCTAGCGGTACCGCGAAGGGGACAGGACCGACATAGTGAATAGCAGCGAGTCAAAACCAGCTCGGGTGTATTTCTGCGGTAGCAGACACTGAAACTGATGGAAGCATGGTAGCGCACTTTCCTCGTGTTTCGTGCACCTGAGCAGAATCTCTGACATGCCCAAGTGGGCAAGGTCGTACCGAGGGGGTGGCGATTGGCTGCCGAATCACGACAAAACAAGAATAAAAAGTTTTTTTTTTAAATTATCGAAAATAATCCCCCGAGAACCTGTATCATTTTGTCTCCTTCAACCAAGCTGGAATCTCCATGCCAAGATGACTGCTGAAGCCAGACCTATACTACTATACCTAACACTACAAGGCAACTATTGTCTTGCATAACCCGGCCTAGACCAAAAGGGACTTTCATTGGAATTAAGAAAAATTGAACTTTTTCCTCCAAGACCGTCATCACTCGAAGAATTCAATGAGGAAAAGATAAACGCAGGCTTCAAGGATCATCATAAGAAGTTTATGAAACTCTTGTCAGAGATGGTAACATGGAATGGAGGAAGCGAAGCTAGGCACTCTCAGCATAAAATGCCTTCTCGAAATCGCATTGTCTTCGGTGAGGAAACCAATACATTAGTCCCAAAACAATTCAGCCACTGAAATGCCCAATCATCACAAAAAATAGTGAATCGTGTCAGCCCCGTGACCACAGCAGTCAGTTGATCAGAAGACCTTCATGCAAAACAGCAGGGCAGGAAAGGAAGCTACAACACTCGTTGAGGAAGCACCTATGAAGACTTCCAGGAGAGTTGCTTTTCACTTGGTTCTTTTATGCTTTCTGCTTTTTCTTTGGCAAACGCAATTGCATCCTGGCTCACGATGCAAACTGCGAACGGGATCCACGAGCACTAAGTACGACCGATTCTCTGCCTTACGAGCTAGGACTGAGTTCCGTGCTTCCTCCCTAGAAATAAAAAACTCATGGCAAGAAATCCACATTGTTGTCATTCAATGAGCACATCTTCAAGGACTCACACATGAGAGCTTGGAGAAGTCACTGGGATCCCAAGGGAAGGTTCAAGAGCTTCTGAATTAATCTAATCAGAGGTTAGACACTTCACAGAATGGATACTCGCAGGTACGGCTCAGGTGCGACCTAAAAGGAAATTCACCTTCAATAACTTCTAAGAATTTCAACAATGAAATGTTTCCAGGTTGGCAAATGAGGGATGGGATAAGGTGAGACCTTACAGGAAGAAATTGGGCACCTCATAGAGACCATATTGCCTTAGTGTCTCCACTCCTTCCTTCTTCAGATCAACTTTGACCACAACCAGACAATGACAAGTGCCATCAGCTTCAATACTTATTGTCGTATCCTTGTAGGCTGAGTATTCATTGTATTGACTATAACATGATTAATCACTGGATAGTTTCAAGACCAGCACAGCTCACACTGATGCAGTGGTAGCGAATAGTCACTCGTTCCATATCGTATCTCAAGTCGAGAGTGGCAGGTTAAAAAAGGGAGCCACAAGCATAAAGATGAACAAATCATTTGACAAAACAGACAAAAGAGAGAGCACTGATGGAACGAGAGGTGAGGAATCAATAGATGATTGGATGGAAGAGGATACAGACTAGTTCGAGCGTCTGCTTCGTTTCTGCTCAGTCTTTTGCCTCAATATCTTTTTCTCTTTCAAGAGTCCATGTCTCTTTTCCTACACCAGGTTATACTCCTCCAGATTTGATTGAAGCACTGCATCCTTCATAGCTGCAAACACAAACCTGATATTCTCCGTATCTGAAAAGAAGAGACCCGTCAGAAATCAATGACCAGATTCCTTATGTAAAAACTCTAACATACAATAAAAACTGAAAAAAAATTTGAATGAATATGCATGAATAGGAAGGAAAGAATCAAACAACAAAGCATTTCAAGATAGCATACTCTGTAACATATGGCCCCCAAAAGAATCCAAATCCAACACGACTACAGATTGGAAGGAACCTCACTGATTCCCACATCCAAACATGCATAAGTGGCTTCACAAAGAAGTAAATCAATTTAATAAAAAGTCTGAGAAAATGAGCCACTATTTCCCATTTAGTTACATGAGGAAGTATGTCAACATGCAAATATGGCTGCTTCCTCCATGCACAACTGGACTTGCCCTTGCCCAATCCAGATGAGCACACAAACACAGACAGACACAATGCTTGTTCAATATTCAAGAAAGAAGTTGTCACTCATATTTTGAAAAACTAATATCAAATTTTTGATCAATCACCAATGTATGTTAGATGCACCACCTTGAAAATACACTGCCAATATGCAAGATGGAGTACCCCCAAAGGACATACCACCTACAAACGTGTAAATCAGATAACTTTTTGTGACCTATAAAAATGAGAAGGAAACTATCATGCAAGTATGTTTTGATGTAACAGCCATGCATCAACAGGGGAAAGGAAGAACCAAGACAAGAAGTTACAGGTTGACCATAGTCACATGATATGGAACAATATTTCTTGTGAAGAATGATACCAATTTTATTTAGTATTATCTTTTAGGGCAACATGCTTGGGAAAAAAGCGAGACGACTAAAGTTGGCCACCTGCATGAATGGCAGATGGCTAACAGACAAAAGTTGCTGCCAGAAGGCAACAAAGAGAACATATGAAAAAAAAAGGCAGGATGAAATTAGAAGTTCAAGTGTAAAAGATCAGAGCAGCTCAGGATGGGATAGATCATTTCTACACTCATGATTGTTAGTTTTGTGTAACTAAATTTCTCTAATAGAACAAAACTACTGTCTTTGCAGCATTAAAATCACAAAAAATTCACTCAACTCTTAGCCAAAGAGTATGAATATATAAAATAATAGGCATTTTCAAATGTCCACTAGTGCAGCAAAAATGCTCAATGTTTCACTTAGAATCCCACACATTTCTGCGAGTTGGCAATGGCCCTATAGGAATAAAAGTGAGCTTGAGCTAGAGCTTAGTTGAATTAGAGTCATAACTCCATTATTATTATGAATAAAAATGCATGGAGCCTTCCTTGTCTCAGGTTTCATTCATATGGCCCATTACCTCTCTCATTCATCAGCATTATCAGGAAAACATTTGAGAAGCTTTTCTCAAACAATATGCAACGAAATCAAGCCAATCCATTCAGCCATGCTTAAAAACTTGCACCTTCACATCACAAGTGTGGCTCATACCTTTAAATGAAATATGGACAACATGTACTTAAGGCAAGACAGCCATCATGCAAGGCTGCACCCCACAAGAGCTTCTTGATGATGTGCTTGACATTAAGGAGTCCCCAATGGATGCTCCACAATCCAATCAGTCAATAATGGAACCCAAAGCAAGAAGACAGATCCAGAGCAAGAATCGATAAAGTGAGTCCATATACCTCATTAATGACAAACAACATCATCAAAGCTAAACTCACTTGATGCATTTAGAGATGGCACAGAATCAGGTGAACGATGCAAGCAAGTTGGGTGCAAGGACAACCATGCGTGAGGGTCAGCAGGGGAAAGGCGCAAGGAGAGGAAGGACGCAGTTATAACAAGGAGAGACATCATGCAAGGTTGTATTCCTTGAGGTTGTGCCGAAGGATGGTGTCCTTGACAGCAGAGAACACCAGTTGGACATTCTCCGTGTCTGCAGTTTTTTTTTATCAAGAGGAAAGCAAGAAAGCAGACAGATCAGAGAGATGTGAAAGCACCTACTTGATTTTGGCATTGTTTCCTGACTAAAATTTGACATTCTTACAATTTATTCCAATCACTAAAAACTTTTTTATCATCGGACATTTTTCACGTTCTTAGAGAATAACCTCTAACACTGCACACAATCTTCATTTACATGTGTCAGACAGTGACAATTCATTCCTCAGCCAAAAAAATGGCATGAAATTTTCTAACATACATTGTTAGGAATCCTTATTGGAAGTCAGCAACCAAAGCTTACAGTCCAAGTCAAGTTATGGGACATCCACGATCTTGTAGAAACAAAAGTTATCAATTTAGAAGCAATTCTTGTTCTGAGACTGATTCAATTCTTTCTGAATGGCTTTATAATTACTATTTTTATTATTAAGAATTATCATGCAGTGAAATCCAATGCTATGTGAAAGAAAATAAATGTATTATGTTCTATATTTCTTATGTTTTGAACAGGAATACATTTTCTACGCTACATGGAAGATCAGAATGGGCATAAATTCAAAGCAAAGACAAAAGACCCTTCTGAGCCTGGGCAATTTCATTGTCTGTAACATGTGAGAATTCCATAACTAAAGTGGAACAAAGCATGAGACATATTTTCTTTCTAGTTGTTCAGATCTGTAGGCTTGTTCTCATCAACAATGCCTTTCAAGTAGTCCTAAAGAAAAAAACCAGATATCGTGGGGGCCACTTGCCCTGGCTGGCAACTCGGAATGCTGTACTGCATATTTCTAAACCAGTATTTGAAATAAGGAGTTGGTAAATGAATTCTCAATCACACCAGATGGCAAAAATAAAAGATGTGATACCATTCTGAGGTCTATCAATAAGATGCCTACAAAAACATAAAAAGGGGGTTCCCCAGATTCAATATGAAAAAGGTTGCTCATAGGTAGTCACTTTTATGGACACCATGTAAATACAGATAAATTTTTGCCCATGTCCAAGATGAGAACTTTAAGATAAGCACTAGGAGCAAATTCCAGGGCTGTCCTGGTCTCCCTCACCCTGTTCTATGTTCTTTCATCATGGAAATGAGTTATCACAGGCTAATGTCACCTTTCATATTTTGTGTGCAGTTCATGAAAGCATTTAACAATATCATGAATCAATGCCAATTGCTGATGCTACAAGCCCCTCAATTGCTTGAGAAGAAAGAGGTTACATGAAATTGAAGGAAACTCAGTGATCAGACAGATTGGATATCCAGCAGAAAAAGATCTAGACATTGGAAGTGATTAGTTAACAATTTGCATTATTGCCAGTTCTACACTGATATCCAGCAATGAAGCATTGTAGAGTAGCACTCTGAATAACAGAAAATAGAAGCACAGCTTAGAAGAAAAAAAATTAGCATTTGAAAAATCTTTAAAACTCTCAAATATTCATGCTAAAATGATACAATGATACCCATAGTTTTTCAGTATGCTAGTCATTTCGTTTACTGAAGTCTCAAAACCAAACTGAGCTGGAGTTTCACTATGCCAACTTGATCAAATCAATGCATCGATCTAAACCATTGATGGATGGTGCAATTATGAGTCAGGAACCTGTACACCTGCTGATGAAGGGCAAGAAACAGGGAAGAGGATAGAATTGCCTCTGAAGGGGGTGTTAGGCCAGGTGATGAGCCCTGTACAGTCTGCAATCTATTCTGCATGGCTCTGAGGCCTCATGTATGGAGGGTGGGGTGCTCTAAGAGAGGGAAGGGACAGGAACGGAAAGAGGGAAGTTTGAGCTACAGCAAGTTACTAAGGGATGTCTCCATGGTTTGTATGGAGGCTCCTTAGATCCACTGTTCTCATGTTATGACTCATGCATTATTTATGTGCTAGCTATTTATGTGCTTTGATACTGGTATTTTCCTTCTTCACCTTCATGCGCAGTTGCTATCATTCCCTGATGAAATCATCAATACTTCCAGTTCTTGACAGTAACATTGATACATCTGCATATTGTGACAGACCAAATTAATGGTAGGACTGTTCCACATCAAAATATTTAAAGGAGTCTTTGGTACAAGACACAACCCTTTGGATTCTGTGGCAATTATTTGGATAAACTGGCAGCAGGGAAATTAATTTGAAATTTGAATGTCACACATCACAGGATACATTAGTGGCAGAGGTGTATGAAGCAATACACGAAGGCATCATGCAGCATATGTACACACAAGACTTGGACCTTACCTGTGGCACATGTGAAATGAGAATAAATAATCTTCTTGGCATCAGGATTTAGGTCTAGAAACATTCGCAGGATGAATTCTCTTGCAGCTATGGGGTCTTTCTGTGGACCTGTGGGTGAACATAAAGAGAACGATTCCACTAGGTCATATCTACCCCAAGGGTGCAGTGAAAATAATCCCTTCGGTGACATCAAATGTCATGTGTGCAGGTCTACCAAATTTCAAAAAGGCTAAATTCTATTCAATACTAGTATCATAGCATAGATTACAGTGTTAAGAATTTGTGGTAATATAATGGGGGTTAAGTAAAACTGGGAAAATATTTCACTCAAAATCTACAGTACAGAACAAGTAAAACATGGATTCTATGGGTTGAATTAGGATTCAAGGCCAAGTAGAGATGGAGAATAAGCACCCATGCTTGAAATGGATCCTGCATTCCATTTTGAAGGCATGACTCCTCAAAATTAACAAAATATATCAGAACCAAAAGAAAATCTTCAGAGCATAAAATTTCTATCGATGAAGCACCACAGTCATGGTAAATTCAACCATGGTCAGGAACAGCAACAGTGGGAGGAACTCACCATCATACTCAGGGAAGTAGTCCACAAGGTGCGAATACATCATCTTCTCCTCAAGCAGGTCCTTCTTGTTGAGAAAGAGTATGACAGAGGACTGCTGAAACCACGGGTATGTGATGATTGTTTTGAACAGGGCCTTGCTCTCCTCCATCCGATTCTGTTTTAAAACATCAACAAAATTAAAAATCCAGCATAATGCCAATCTCAAAACTGAAATATTTTCAAGGGATGCATGGCAACTGCAGGCATCAACTAAATACTTCATCATGAACAAGAGTCACTACAACTGGACTTTCTGATATTCAAACATAACTGAACTACCTCTTAGTTTTAAACAATTGTTGGGTGCCATAAAGTGCAAGTACCACACAAGCCTAGCTAAGATACCCTTACTCTTCCCCTTCCCATGTGGACAACTCTCATGCCATCCTTTATGACCTGCTTCATGGCCATTGATACAACTAGCTCAATATGCATCAAATGATACTCAGTCAAAAAACGGGGAAATTGGCACCTATATATCTAGCTGAAATGTATCAAAAAATCATTTTAAAAACAAGCACACAGGAAATGGTGACTGGACTAACCTCATTCTCTGACTCAAAGAGAACCTGATCATATTCGGATAAGGCTACAAGAAAGATGATGGAGGTGATGTTCTCAAAGCAATGGATCCACTTGCGTCGCTCTGAACGTTGCCCTCCAACATCCACCATCCTAAAATGAAAATCACATTATTAGAAAACACTTCCAAGCTGAGCCAACATCTGCTGAAGGAAGAGAGTCATTGTAAAGCTAATGACAGTCATAATTAAAACATGTAACATACATACAGAACAATAACAAAACAATGATGGACACATGGCTGAACAAGCAAAATTAAATTTTAACAGGAGAGAAGAAAGTACCAAAATATAAAGACCAAGAACATTCTCCAGGTTCCCTGTTGTGAGAACTTAGACAAGCAGGATGCATTGATCAGATGGAATGTAAATGACTGCTTCTATGCAATCAACACCATTCAGATAACAGCATCATAACCACCAACACAGAATGTGCAACATGCTCATTTCAATAACAGAGCCTTTGACCTTCACTGTTTTCTAACACCTACCTACAAGCCTCCTTGGTTCTTCATATAATGGACTATTTTGAAAGCATGAATACACTGACAAAGGCTATCAATGGAGCATCAGGGAAATTGTTAGTCACACACCCTGAACACCATAAGCAGGGATGAGTTGTTAGGGGGTTTTGTTGTATTTCCAAAAAAACAGGGGGGGCCTGCTTTCTTCATCTTTCACCTTTCATCACTATCAGGGATCAGGGAAGATGGCCTTCATTTTTCTGGTTGTGATTCAAGGAGGTTTTCCTTCTCTGGTTTTGGGTTATATGCTATTAGGGGGTGTGTTGAACAAGAGTCTGTTGTCTGGCAACATTGTGATAGCTGATAACATAACTGAGGTCTCCAACTTTCCCAAGTGCATTTGATACATCATGACAGACCAGGCAATGATGTAGCAAGTGCAAAGAGAGCATCAAGTGCTACCCATGAAAAAATATGCAAGCAAACAATCAAGGCCAGAAACAGAAAAGCATACAGCAGACCAGAATCCCTGTTGTCATACCTGAAGCGGACCTCCTGGAGGTCAAAGATATACTCAACGATTCCAGTGGTGGGCACCCTTACTCTGAGGATGTCCTGGTCCGTGGGGAGGTATGAGGGGGATGCTATTCGATCCAAGTCTGACAGGTAGCTGCAATGTATAGAAATGTTATGGGGTGGGATGCCTTTTCTGAACAATTCCATGAACGATGAAGACACGACAATTCCTCGACACAGGGACAGCACAGGGGACATGATGTGAATGCCAAGAGAAAATATTAAAAAGGGAGGTCCCACACATTGATTAATTGCAGCAAAATTACAATGCCAATAGGCAATAGGCAATGCCAAAGCTTTCATTTTCAGTGCCATAAACTTTCCTTTTGGAAGCATTTGCAGAGCAAGAGCAAGAGAATTAAAGCAGGGAAAGAGAGGCACCCAATGTGCCTTCAATTTCAGACTGACAAGATTAACATTTCCAGATACAACGTTTTTACCATCATACAAGTCAGGGATGTGCAACCTGTGGCCCGTGGACGTGCTTCTTGTGGCCTGGTAATGCATTATATGGGATAACAGATTAGTTTCTTAGCGGCCAAAGGCTCATCACAACATTGGTCAACCGTATGAAACAAGAAATAGACCGAGTCCTTTTACTTCATTCTAATTTTTCCTCATGCGGGCGGTGCCACATGTCCCATGTGTCCCGAGGAAGAAGGTTCTCAATGCCAAAGGCTATTTTTGGATGTTGGAATTTCCTTGGGGTGGGGAGGAGGTAAGGATCATCAGGCAATCAGCGTGACCTTAAGCCCTCATATGCCCTGAGGACAAAAGAGGGGAGCCTTTTCTTTTGCAATCTGTGGCCCGCATCAAGAGTCACACATTTCCATGTGGCCCAATGCCGATAAAGGTTGCACACCCCTGATATAAGCAGATCCAAAGCGGCATGACCATAAAGCAAAAACACTTGAGACAATCAAACAAAGCATACTATTTGGCAGAGTCAGTCAGTTGGTACTCCTTTCTGTGGCTGTAGCATTCTTGAATTCCTGCATCATGCCAGAGGGCTTTAATGGCACTCACATAGGGCTCCTCAAATGTTGTCACTTTCTCATGATCCACAGACTTCACAAGCTCTGCTTTATCCTATGGAAGAACCAATAAAATAATCAACTCAAAAATGATAGATTTCAGATTCCACTTCAGAAGATTCATGGCAAAGTTATCACCACTGATTTCTTTCCTTTAAAATTTCATTATGAAGTAAGCTATGGAAAAAACTAAGCACAGAAGGCACCATACATAAAAAGAAGGATTCTCATATTGGAGTTTGAGAAGCTCCATGGCATTTATCATCGTCTGGATGGCGAGGAAAATGTTCTGATATATGAGCTTGATGAAGCCCCTCTTGTCTTCTTCAGAGTAGCCGTTCCCATGGATGATATGCATCTGCTTGATGAACGTGGACTTCCCTGACTCACCAGTCCCTGAATTGGTATAGAAATTTCCCACAATTGAATGCACAAGCAGGTCTGATGCTCCCTTCTTTCAACTTGTTTATGCAATACCACCAAGAGGAATCATATTCATTTGCAGACTTTAGTGTATGACATTTACTTCTTTTGCATGGGATTGGGCATAGCTGTGTTGCTAACATGGCATATCAATTCCATTCATCAAGGGAAATTATAAGATCATGCTCCCTCTTGAATTCAAACCAATTAATTGGTTTCACAAGGCATACATCTACCTGTACTCTATGTTTTGACAATAGCAAAGCATTGAAGGACCAAATCAGCATTCACTCTACTTGGCTGACCTACGTTGAGGCATTACTAAACCTTCTTGAGCTCAAGTCCTTGTGGCTATAGAAATCTTTGTTGTTCAGTTTCATTCTTTTGCATCACACTGTCCCTGTTTCACACTTATCCATATTACAATGAGGCTGATCTCTCTGCCTTGATGGTGATCTTAAAGTACAAGATACTGCATGCAGCACCAAAAAGATTCAAGTGTCGATATGCAAAACCGTTTTCCTTACCCAGAAGAAGAAGCTTGAGCTCTCGACGTGCATCCCGTTTCCCTCGCCTTAGCTCCTTCTCGATTTCCCTGCTTATGCGCTGCTGCTCTTTCTCTTCTTCACTCCGACAACAGGCCATCTTCCCCTTTATCCTGGTACAGAGCACTAATTAAGACTTACATCTGTGTTCCGCCAGAATCACTACGTTCTTTCTGTCTAGCACATCATCTCTCGCCGAACGGGCATCTACTTACAATGATGGGAGTCACTGAAGCAGCCTCATCTTGCTTCCAGCAAAGAAAATCTCCATGGCCCATGTCAGAATTTGAGGGGCAGGCAGCACAGGTTGAGCAAACATGAATGAGCACTTTGATACAGGCATCATGCAAATGTGTCTGTTCCTGCAGCAAGTCACTAGGTTTTCTGTTGAATCCTCATCCACTCTAGATCAAGCCTCAAACATTCACCCACAGATGCACCAATTCGTATTGTCATATCTGAAACTGGATGAACATTGTCTGAACCCTGTGCACAATACTAACACCTTGCACGTGAAAGTAATAAGTAATACCCACATGTCAGGTGTGAAATAATATTACCAACTTGAAGGCTTTGGCCCATATGTTACCCTAGTCTAAATCCTATACAGAGAAAGTTGATCAAAATCAATATATATTACATAGCTTAGAAGTACATATTAAAACTGCCAGAAGGCAAGTTGCAAGGGTCCTTGGGCTGAATGGTCCATGTTATGCATTATGAGAACACTTAGTTCATAGATATGCTTCTATTTCTCACATTTTCTACAAACCCTAAAAACTGTCCTTTCACATCGCTTTATACTTTCTTTCCTCACCAACAATAACTTCATCGAGGGCGTTTTTAATTCATCAGACATGAATGTGTATCATGAATCACAACTTAACCTTGGATAAAGGATGAATTAAGTTGCTGATGAGGTTCTGTGAAAATGAGCCTTCTGAAAATGGCTATCAATGTTTCCAGATTGACTTTCACACCCATTGACAAGTGTTCTTTGCTATTGTATGGGCCCCACTGCAAAGTCACGAAGTAGCAGTGCCCTCAGTCGGGGGGGAACGTTGCCCCATCGGCTTCACTCGTGAGTTTACCTCGTTGCAATTGGTGATTGCATTTCTAGGCGTCTCTCCAGCACCGTTAACAAACAGTGCCAAGGTGGTCAATCTGGAAACACTATCTTCGACACAGACATCAACACAGAAACCGTAGTTCTGATGAGGTTGGTGCAACCCCTCAAATGGGAAAAGCGATGGGTAAGGGGAAACAACTGATATCACAGGAATCATAGGCCTACGAAGGCAATCTGGCTCCGCGATGCGTCACACTGACTTCTGTCCCCGATAGGCCTATCATAAATCCGTATGGCAAAACCTGATGAATTCGAAAAAGGGCGAAGTTGACCCAGAGTCGTTACGGATTCATCGCACGAACGTGACCCCTGTTGATTTCCGCGACGCACCAGCACCGAATGCCGTCCGTGTTCCCTCGACCACGCCACTCTCCCCCCTCCGTCCGTTCCTCGCTCGAGCAGACGAAAATACCTCGGCACGACTCGCCCCATCGGGTCCCTGCATCTCCCCCCCCCTCTCCACGCCCCCAACCCCTC